TAGCAGCTGATTACATTATTTATATTCAGTTTCATAAGTAGGTTTGTGAAACTATCAATAGGTCATATATATATATATATATATACATATGAATCGATAGTCTCAAAAACCTACTTATAAACAAAAATAAGTAATGTAGTTGATGACTTTAGTAAATGCAACTTTGCTTCATCGACAATCTCACCACAGAATGTGATATGGTAAAGTGTCTGGCCTTACTTGAAATTCACATTTGCCCTGTGACCCAAGGGCACTCGTGTTAGTGTGACGTAGTGGATAATGTGCCGAAAGTATGCACTGCACTACCAAAGTTCGAGTCCCTCTAGGGGTGCTGACGAGATATGGACGAGGCCGAAACTGCAGTCCACTCCTGTCTAGGTGAGGAGATCGTTTTGGGAAGCTAGTCTATGCAATATTCATCGGAAACGTAGAATTTACTCATATGACTGTGAGAAAATACAATTAGCACTCCTTCATCACCTTAAGCGAAATAGGGAGAATACATCTCGAATATATGATTTACTGGTTTAGTTGTCTTGGAGTAGACCTCTGGGATATTGGGAGCAACTAGATGTTAAAAAGGCATAAGGTTTTAGTGTTAAAATTTGGTAGAATGTCTTTTATTGTCTCAGGCAACTCGGCATTTGCATCAATCTTATATCAAATTGGTGTAACTTTTAATGGCCTCTTCTCCGATTCAATCGTGACAGGCACTAGAAATCCTGTAATTTGACGTCATCTTTTAGTTGTGCCAAATTTTTTTCTCCTTTAAGCATTGTTTTATTAACATATTTCGGTCAATTCTCCTTCGTATATCAATCAATGAAAATAATTTCTTTTAAATAACAATGGCATACTTTAATAATTAGCCTAAATAATAGGCCAACAAGGTAAATGCAATAATAGTCATTGTTAGTATTAAGCATCTGAAGTGGTTATAAAAGAGAAATCATGAAATATCTACCTCATATCTGTTCTGAAGTTCTGCCACTTTGGAGAGATTATGTGTAACTGAACGTGTCTCATGGATGTCTCCCGAGGCTGCGGCTTCGGAAGAGATCCCTGCAGTGCCTTTAAGTGCTGCAGCCTCCTCTGGCCAGGTCTCGATTATGTCATCGAGACACTTTTTCATCTCAACTAGAAATGTGGCACCACGTGGTTGTTCTCGAGCAAAATAGGCTTCATGATGCTCCACCTAGCCAGAACGAAACGAATATTAGTAAATATACATAATTAATTTATAGACGCACATATGGGATGAAATAAATGTCCATAATCGCCCTGACTAGGAAAAGAATCTGTAGGACCAAA